CTGTCCGCATCCTCGGGCACCGAAAGAAAAAAGTGTGCATAAGGTTCTACTAAAAATTAGCATTATTTGTTTATATATAAGATAGGAGTTAACACGTGTTCACGTCTGATTTGCAATAAAATATATATTCTCATTTCGATTTAAATATATATATTTCCATATTTCAGTAGATGATGGGTAGAGTTTTATATACACAAAACGCTTGACAAAAGAAACAAGAGAGAGAGAGAGAGAGAGCAAAGAAGGGAGCGAGAGTAAAGGAGAGTGACGAAGGGTATATTCGAGCTAAAATACATCAGATAGCCTTCACAGCTTGTAAAGATAACTCTTATAAGCAATGCATGAATTTTTGAAAATCGCATAGAGAGGCTACACATTAAAATACGCGTATTTTATTTGCAGCGCACCGGGTTAAAATATATTCTCTAATTGGTGCAAAATAAGACATATACATTTCTACAGACCGATGAACATGGCTTGATCGACTGGGCTATTGATGCTGACCAAGAATATATATACTTAATGGGATCCGGGATGCCTTCTTCTGCCTGTTACATATTTAAAACTATTTTAGTCTCTTTTTAAACAAACAAAAGTAGTAGGACTTCCTTTAGATTAATTTTGCGAGAAGTTCTATATCAAGAGCTAAACCTTTAAATCGTTATAGATTTTTAAAGTTTCTCTCCTGTCTCTTGTTTTCTTCTTAATTAAATATTTGTATTTTTTGCAGTGTATTTGCGTTGCTGCTGTGAGTGTTGGCTGCGCTTGATTGCATTGCATGAGGCCTTCGTCATTTGGCATCGTCGTCCATCTTGGCACAACGTCAGAATGTGCGATTCGTTAGCTTTGGCGGTTGCTGGGGCATAAATCACTCCTTGGTCTGGGCCTGATCGCTTAGCGATCCTCCTTCAACTTCACCTCCAAACAGCTCCAGCTCCAGCTCCAGCTCCCACTGCTGCTGTTCCTGCTGCTCCAGCTCCTCCTTCTTCGTCTGCTGTTGCAGCAACTTTTTTGCTTGCTGCGTTTCATTGATTAATAATTAATTTGCGTCTTCTTGCCTGCGGTCGTCGTCGTCGTCGTCGTCGTCGTTGCCGTTGCCGTTGCCATTGCGGCTCACCTGACGACCTGACTCCTTTATAATGAACGGTTTGTGTGTGTGCCAGGACATTCGTCGTACATCATCGAAATGCGCGCCCAATGCCCATACGCCAAACGTCTCTGGCTGATTGCTTTGGCTCACAGGTTGCCGGGGCTCCTCCTTAGCTTAATGCATAAATTCTTTTGGCCAGGCCTCCTCCTAACCGGTATTTAATACAACAACAACAACGGCTCAGGCATAAATTAAGCGAAAGGTGTTTATACATTCGACAATAAATCAATTAACAAATTTGTAATTATTATGTTCATAAATCTCGGCTTGAAGGCCGCATCAATGGCTTAAATCCACGATTAAAATATTTTGATAGTCACACCCCAAAAATGAACAAAAAGCGGAACAGGCTTCATCAGCCAGCGAAGACATGAATTGGGCAGCGATCTCTAGTTAGTTTTAGATGCGCATCTTGTCGCTGTCTATCCTCAGATGGGCTTACAAATTTCGCTATAAATCAAGTCCAAGGTTCGGCCTCTGTTTAAATATGCGATTGATAGCGCTTGAAGATGTAGTTTGTAGAGGTTATACAAAAATGTTATGCACATTTCGATGCCGACTGACAAACTGATAAATCCAAGCTTTTCTCGCAAATAGAAACGGGAAGCTTAAAGCGTTTTGGTAGCTGGAGCTTTCCTCGTGTGCTTTTCTTTAAATCTTAACTATTATTTCTTCTATACACATTTCACCCAATATGGCTGATTTATCTCAAATCCCAACTTTTAGTTTTTCCACGCCTTTTCTACCCGACAGAATGAATTTGCAAGAGCTATGTGATTTGGTTCAAATCTTAACTTTTAATACTTCCACTCACTTTCCACCCAACAGAGTGTATTTAGATCGGTTTTACTTATTAATTCATTCACTTATTTTTTACCCAACAAAGTGGATTTCTACTCAAAAAAGAGAACTTAGCTCGAACCACGAGTTTATTTTTAAATTATAAAATAAATTCTTCCTCGCATTTTCCAGTATGTGTTCTTCTTAATTATAAGTTCTTCCAGCCATTTTCAACACAGCTGAAAATTTTCACTATTATTTCTTACACTCAATTTCCACACAACAAAGTGAAAAGCACGAAATATGTGGCTTACTTCATATCTGAACTTTGTTTCACGTCTTTTCCACCCCACAAGGTGAATTTCTACATACTCTTATAAACAAAGCACGTCTCTAATTGGTTATTCAACAACTCATTAGAAGAATCGTATAAGAAACAAAAAAATATTACATTCTACAGACTTGCGTGGCTAATATCGTTGTGTTCTATAAAATTCCTTCTTTTCCAATTTATTTTTGACTTGGTCTTTTTTTTGCTATTCCATTCAATTTGCGCATCAAGTTTGCGTTGCATTTTTTCTTTATTTTTGCGTTTGCGTTCGCGCCCTTTTAATGGCCAGAGCAGAGGCTGTTAACCAGATGTGTTGCCCGGGTCTCTCACGCAGGGGCCACTTCATGGACGGCGTCAGGCGGCGTCGTCATCAACAAGAATATCGTCAAATTTGAGGGCCTGTGCCTATGCCCATTTAAAATCACTTTGCGGCAACGCCACGCCCCCGTTCTCGCCAGCGCCGTGTTATGCATAAATAAACACCGTGACCCCGGCGCCTACACACACCCGGCTCCCGGCCCCCGCCTTGGCCGGGGCCCAATCCGTGGCTGAGCGAGCTTCGGCGTCATTTGCTTATCCTTTTGACTCTCGACGTAGCCGTCATCGTGATTGATGGCAACTTTTGGTGCCTCGTCGCAACTTGGCCTGGCCCTGGGCCTGTAATATGGCCAGTTTCGGCAACTCTTGGCCCCGAAAGTTATGACGTGTTAATCATGGCGCATAAACACACCAAATTGTGGGCGTCACCTGCTGCGTGCCACGATGACGGATGTGCCCCGGCGAATGTGTGGAAGAGCGGCCATTAGCAAAGTGCCAACGGCCATGCCACCGAAATGGCAGATTATCTCATTATTGGGCAGCATATTAAGAAATTGAGCACCAATTTATGGAAATTAACGAGAAAATTAAATACCCTGCACACACAAAAATCTGGTATTGACAAATCAGAGTGTTCTAGTCGAGAGTGACTGACTAGCACATACCCTGAATCCCGCGAAGAACTGCATTTATGTGCTCTATGGGAACACTTCGGTTCTGTATCAATTTTTCAAAGCATAAATATTGCTTATCTGTATAGACCACCAAGTTCTTAAATCTTTGAAGTTATGCTTAACAAACCTTGTCGACTAAGCTCGGTGTTCTGAACATGAATATATACACTCAATGGGGTTGAAGATGCTTCCTATTGACTGTTGCATATATTTGCACAAAGACATTGTAATCTCTCTACTCACTTTAAGGGTATACAAATAAGTATGAACTATGTGATCGACTATGCAATACTCTTCACACATTGTATTAAAGGGATGCTGTCGGTCAATTTGATGTCTACGGATAAATCTGTGCTATTAATGCTAAGATGGCAGGTCAATGTCACTAATTTTGTATACATACACTAACCTACAAACAACAAAGTTTAATCACCAAGCAATGAACTAGTTGTCTGTTTAGCTATTATAAGAAACGCCATTAACTTGTTGAGAATTGAAAGCGACATGCTTGGCAGAGTGCATTTTCTGTGAGTATAAGTTTAAGAATTTAAGAGTTTTAGCATATATTCAAGACATTCTGTTAATATACTCGTTTTCAATTTTTACGCAGAGTATATACGACGATTGAAAGTCTAACTGACTGTACACACATTTATTTGCCCTGCAACAAAATACTTTATTTACAACTGGATATCGCGTTTACAAATGTTCTCCAAATTGAAAAAAAAAAACCTGCCTGAATATCACATGCCCTGAAGGACTCGAAGAAAATGAGTTTCTTTGTGGGCAAATATGGTAAATAGCAGTGTTATCAAAGTGATGCCCAAGGATAATTCGCTGTGCATCGAACTAATGCAATTTTCTCAACAATTACCATAAAGGAGCCGAGTACAAATCACAAGGACTTCTGTTGCGAAATTAAACCAAAAACCAAATCTGCGACGTTGTCTGCGTTTTTTTTCAATTCAAATTCAATTTCGATGCGCTTGGCAATTCCCATTGCAAATGGCAAAAGGATCTACATTCCCCCAATCCCCCTCGATTCGCCAACATTGCAACTACACTGAGCAGCAGGATAAGGATGAAAATATGGCATTGCTGAATGCAGTTGTTCCAGCAGCTGCTGCTCCAGCTCCAATGGCCATGTGTGGGTGGAGGTCAGCAACTGGTTCCGGAAAGCCCTCAAAATGCTGTGTCGAGTAACTCTAATTTCGCCGGACAATTGACTGGCATTGATTGTCGATATGTGGAGGTCAGCTACAAGTTGTATGAGGGATGAAATGCCAGGGAGCCCCTCGAGTTAACAAAGGTTAAAGGAGCTGATGTACAAAATATTCCAGGCAAATTTTTAACCCCTTTGAAGAGTGTTGAAATTGGTTACCGAATCGCTTAACTCATAACTATTGACAGCTTCTATATCATAATAGTATTGTTTCTTTCAAATGGAAGGATACACTTTATAAGATTGGAGCTCGAACCCTAAATTTTCGTTTTATTGAAACTGAATTAAACTTTAATCCAAACCACAATTTGTCTCAAAAAGAAATTGTTAGCAAATCTTTCTGAGATACTCGCAATTTTGCTACATAAAATTTAATTTGAAAGAAAAATCCAGGTGGGATCTTTTAAGCTTGCAGCTACCTTTTCGAATGCATACAAAATTGTTAAGCCTTGAAAGTATATAAAATCGGTAAATGTATCTCCATGAAATTCAAATTAAAAGCACTTGAATTTCACGTGCAAATTTCACTGCAACTAATGACAGTTTCCGCATTAACCATATAAAAAAGCAGCTAGTTAAACGGCATAGTTTAGTTAGTTGCTGGCCCTACGATAGTTAATCGTAATGAAAGTCATTTTAATATTTCTCCTTATCTCCATTCCCGCATTTCGAGTGAGCTGCGATGTGAGTTCATCTATCCAATCTCTATGGATGGTGCTATATATAAATCGTGTTCATTGTCTTACAGGATTCCAAGGAGCTGGTGCAGTACAAGACTGGCAGTGTTGATAAATGCCTAAAAGCCGGCGCAGTGTTGATAGATCGCATGATTAAAATGCAGACCGATTTTAATGAGCTGCAGTCAAGCCAGAATACAAATGCCCGAGACAAGATGGAAAATATTACAGCACTGATAAACGACAAGTTCGATGTAATCAATAAGAGGTTCAAGTTCCAGAATGTACCAAGGAGTCCATTCGAGAAAATTGGTTCCAAATACTATTATATTGAGCAAAAAATAATGGTTAGCTGGTTCGAAGCTGCGCATAAATGTCGCCAATTAGGTGCACAATTGATCAATTTGAGGCACCACAGGGACTTTGATAATATAACCAATCATTTGGAGAATTCTAATCTGGCTGCTTCCGAAGCAAATCGTTTCTGGCTGGACATCAATGATCTCAGTGTTGAGGACCAGTTCCAATCGCTGACTACGGGCATCAATATAACATTCGCCTACTGGGAGGCGAATCAACCGGATGACTTTGACAACGAAGATTGCGTGGAACTTAGGTACAAACGGAAAAGGTTTGTTATGAATGATGCCAGCTGCGATACTAAGAAATATTTCATATGCCAGAAGGAACACGTCATATAAAGATCTACCAGTTATTGACAATGTTTCACATTGTTTTAGAATACTTGAAATAAATTTATAAAATATGCAAGCTGATTTGAGTTCGGCAAAGCATAAAGCATAATAAAATATATAATGGTGATTTTTGGCAACCTTCCCATATTTTTATTAAATATTTAGCTGGCTTTAGATCCTCAGAACTATAATAAATTTATTTTCGTCAACGGAACGAAGCACCTAGTTAATGGGCGTGATTCGGAGATTTCGATAATAAAAAAAATTGTAAAATATTCTGTTTTCAAATATATTTTCTTCACACTTAACATTTACGAGCTTAACTAGTCTCACATATCTGAATAAGGGAAACGCCGACAAAGGTATTTCATCTTCAGCGTGTCGAAGATATCCTTACTTCCTCTTTTTTTTATATATTTTTATTATTTATATTATTTATTGTCAATCATAACGCATCGAAACTATAAAGTGTGCTTAAATTTGGGTGCAAAATGTTGGTCTCAAGTTCAAGTCCGATCGGAAATAATCAACAGTCCAATTAGACCGTGAATTAATCCCTCATAGTAATCGATCAGTTTTACACTCTCAAATCAATTTGAGAACTTTGTTAGTCAAGTTAATTAAATCCAATTTAAAAAAGCATCTTGCTTATTGTCGTCTAATATATTCAGGTCACATTTAAGGCAACTGAGCCGTGTCCATGCGGATAAGGTGGTTACTTTAATCCTTAGGCCACACGCACTTCTCTGTTTAGTTTCGATTAGGATCCACGTAACCAGCCATAGACATTTGCCATTTCAATTTCAACTGCATTTCGTTTGGCATCGCTGTGCCATCAACTACTCTGATTAGTCGTCCTGGCTGGGAACGCATCATTTCATAGCCGATTGGACAACGGCCGTTCGCTGCTGAAACCCAACTGGATGCGGATTGGATTTGTTCAGCTGCTGCTGCTGCTGCTGCCACTGCGTGTGGTGTGTGGAATGTGCGTCTGTGTTTTTAGAAAATAAAATTGCATTTTCATGAACCTTTGGCCAGGAATTTATCTGGCGCACAGATTTTCCCAGCCCGTCCTTCGTCCCGCTCCAGGCGCAGGCCTCTCCAAATAGGCACGCACGTAGCATAAAGCGCATAAATAGCTAGCACAGGCCGAACAGTGCCCACACCCCCTGCTCCAACTCCCCTCCCCGCCCCTCCCTCGCACAATCCTGGCCTGGTGGCATCAGCAATTGTCCCAGCTATGGCCAGGACATGCGTGCATATTTACGAGTCGGCTGTGGCGGCATCAGCTGCACCAAAAACTCGATTGCCTCGTCCTGTGTCTCTCGTCCGCCTGCCCCCCTAACCCGAGTGCTACTCCACAGCCATCGCCACCGCCTCATCCTCATTCTCATGCTCATCCTCCAGTGCGCTGGAGCAGAACGCTGTGGTTGAGTTGAGAGTAACTGGGAGGGTCTGTGGGGCTGTTGGCGTCACAAAATAATTACCAAAGCTGGGCCTCGCTTCGGTCGCTCGCTCGGTGATTGAGTTGGCAAAACGTTGCACTCGATTTGATTTTTTTCGGATTGGGGTTTGGGGTTCGGGGCTTGGGTCTGGTATATCCACAAGCGCCAGCCCTAGCTGGAATTTATGCGTGTGCCATTGGGCCCAAAGTTTGTCGGTTTTTAAGCTAATTTGGCGAGCATCCTGGCTGGCTGGCCGGCCGGCTGGCTAACTGCACTGCACTGCATTGCTGGACGTGGAGCATTTGAGTGAGTGAGCAAGATTTAGTGGCACACATAAATGCCAAAACCGAAATGCTCCAACAGCAAATCACGGCCAGAATGACACGCCCACCTCGATTGCGGTGCGCTCGGCTTGCAGATTTTTGGCACAACAGTGCAGACAGACAGGCGAAGTGGAATGGGGGAGCGGGACAGTTGTTGGGCAGCTAAGCTGAGAGCGATTGGGACTGGTCGGTGCGAGCGCAGTGCAGTGCAGCAGGGAACCTCATGATTTGCCCATAAATGCAACAACAACAACAACGACAATGGCTAAGTGGAGGGTAGGGCACGAGCATGACATGTTTGTGCACCAGACAAGCAAATGCGGGAAAATTTGAATAAAGTTGAAAATGAGAGGCTATAATTGTGGTCCTCGTGCTGCTGCTGTACCTATGGCAGCTCATCTGAAAGGACTTTAAGTAGCTGTTGACTGAACTAAAGCACACGGTTTGCAAGTCTTCATTTAAATTCTAGTACACATAACTATTACTAGGAGATTTTTGTATATTTGCAACTCCGCAACTTTTAGTTCCACTCTCACTAGCTGATATTACCTATTAATTAGACATTTTCCGCCATTTATCACGTGCTATTATTTTAAATCAGCAAAACGAATTCCATGAATAATCAAATCATTCAATTTGGCCCTAAACACAAAAATGTTTTACAAAACAGCTTCCACTTATATTCCCCAAATGTAAGTGGAATCTGCTAATGTCCCATGTAGCTTTGATTTATTTACTCTCCATATCTCTGTCTCTCTCTCTCTCTCTCTCTCTCTCTTTGCTCTACCGCACTCTTCAGCTTTTTTATTCACACGGCTACAAATTCTCTGAGAGCCAGTGCTTAAAGTATAATTTACAGTTTCCTTTTATTTCGTCTCCAAAAATAAAACGTTTCAAAAAGCAATTTCCACTAATATTTTACAATTGTGGCTGAAATTTGACAAAAGTTAAAGAAAATAACTGAGGTATTCCCTTTCGTCACAAGGTGCAACTGTTTCAAACATCCGATGAAAGTAAGGAATTGGGTGTGGGGTATTGGCTAAATTGCTTGATTTATAAAACAATTTCCACTAATATTTCGCACTTGTGAGTGAAATTTGGCAAAAGTAGAATTGAGATATTGAGCTATTCCTTTTTATCACAAGATCCAACTATTTCAGATAGATGATGAAAGCAAGGTATGGGGTTTTGGGTATGGCAATAACAAAAGGTTTCTTTTACACTCTCCTTGAGCGATCGTCAATGAAACTTTTGTCTGGTGTCTAAGTCCATCGCCTACGTCTCAAATCAGCAATCCATGATGTTGTGCGTGTGTGTGTTTTCTTCTTATGTCAGCAGCAGCCAGCGCATCATCATTGCCATTAACCAATCGAGTTACCAATTGGCCAGCTCGGGCCGCAGCAAGTGGGGGCATGCCTGCAGCTGTTGCTGCATATGTCACCCGTTATCGTTTCACCCGTTCTTCACACTGGCATACCCCCGCACAGCCGCGCCACCTGCCCATTGTCTTGGGCTCTTTCTATGGCTGGAGGCTTCTCAGTGTCCCTCGTCGTCGTCGTCGTTGTCGTCGTCATTGTCGTCGACTCCAATAAATCAGTTTGATTTATTCACCTTCGCTGATCGTTCTTTTTTTTTTTGTTTTTTTTTTGTTTATTTCGATTGTTGTCATTGTCGTCGCTGTGTGTTGCCCCATCGGGTATGTTGTTGTCTCTTCACGCGCGTGCTTGCAACTCGCCGGGCTCTTCTATGCATCCATCGATCCGTGCCCCGTGGACACAGCCAAGCTCCTCAGCCTCAGTTCCAGTGCCATTCTGATCGCGTTTCGACAAAAGATCACCTGAGCTGGGACTGTCTCGCTGGAGCGTCTAATTCAATTTAGCATGCGACTACGACAACAACAACAACAACAAGTACAGCAACAACCATTACAGCATATGGCAAATATTCGTTTCGTGACATTTGATTTCATATTAAGATTAACCGTATTTGCTAAAGCGAACAATTGCCTCGAGCTGCTTGAAAATCTATAGAATATTCTTTTAAGAATCTCCACGAATTTGACTGATCTTTATTTTATGTCCATAGAATAAAATACAACAAACTATGTTTAGTTTTGGAAATAGAATGGAAAAGAAAGTGTATTTTACTCTTAAGTTTAATATTAAAATAATCCCAAGTTAAAAATAAGTAGATCGTAAGTTAAAGACCCTGAACTTGTGTTGCATTCACTTTTTGATTTTTTTTAATAAATATACACAAATCGCACAGCTGGCTGTGAATCTGTTGCCACCTTCCGGATGTGTTTGAAACGTTATGGAAATCAAAATTCATGACAATCACAAAATGTGAACAATGGGCTCTGTCATAATAAAGGCGACCCGTTTGTTCTACGTAGAAGTCTCCGGCGGCGAAGCACTTGTAATGCTTCCCGCGAGTCAGTTGGCTGACAAGAAATTTATATTAATTTATTACAGTTCAACTGACAGAGAATTAAGCGAGAGACAATTTATGGTTTTGTTTTCAGCGCATTAAGCCGAAAGGAAAGAAGACATCGTGTATGCAAATATCCAACGAGCTTTCCACAGTTTTGCTCATCAATCGCATCAGCTGCGGGCATGCGACAAATTGCGCAGATTCCCTAGTCTCTGCGAACGAGCTGAGCTATCGAGTATATATGGGCTGGGGAGAGCTGGCGCAACAGTCGATAGTTGACATCAATTAAAGCAAATATCGATAACATTAATAGTACAATCGATAAGTTTAGCTAAAATCTGCCCATTGCAAATAGTTACTGATATAATAAGGAAATGAGATACTAAAAGGTATAATACTAAAAGGTATAATAAAGTTATAATAAAGTTATCCAAATGTTTCTAACTGGCGAAAGGATGTACATATATAGAATATATCTGCTTGATCAGCTTATATAGTGGTGGGAGTAGCTTACTTCCTTCGCCCGCTGTTGCCTTTAAATTCGATATTTTGCCTATCTAAGTATTTCGTAAATATTCAAATATTAAACAGAAATTAATTTAATAATGTTTTTATATCTACAGTCGTTGCCTTAAAATCAATAAATATCAATATTTCGCCTCTTTATGAATTTCTTAAAATTTCTTAGACACAAATCAATTTGAATATTTTTTTTCATAACTCCTTATCCTCCTTTATCTTTATATCGATAAATATCGACATTTCGCTTAACAAAGAACTTCATGAATATTAAAATATTCGAAATAAATCTATTTTTATATTTGTTCCATAACTCCTGCCTTTATCTTTAAATCGATGTATATCGATCTTACGCTTATCTAAGAATCTGGGGTCGATAACCGCCACCTTTGCCTATAAAATCAATAAGTATCGATTATAAACATATCGATTATTTACATATTAAAATAACATATGTTTTGGTATAGCACACAGTAGTTCGATTTATTTTAAGTTTTTAATGACTTCTCCTGGAAATTAAATTTATCGACATCAATGTTTTGTCATCTCTAGGGC